GGCCTCTCTCCCTCCCCAGCAGCGCTTACATCCCCGCTGGGCGCCGGCCTCCCTGCGCCGCCAGCCAGTACATGGTGTCCCCCAAGGGAGCCGAGGCCGGGGCGGCCGGACCGGGGGCCGGGATGGGGGGACGCCGCCTCCGCGGCTGCCGGGCCCTGAGCTGTTGCCGCCGCCGCCGCTGCTACCGCTGCTGCCGCTGCTGCTGCTGCCCGGGAGGCGGCTGGCGGCGGAGGCTCGGCTCCCAGTAGCCTCACATCCCACAATACACCGCTAAGGAGCCCGACCCGAGCGCTCACCCTCCTCCTCTTCCTCCTCCTCCTCCTCCTCCTCCCCTCTCCTTCCTCGCCGCTTCCCCAGGCACTCTCCCGGCGGCGGCAGCTGCGCCGCCAAAGCCCCGGGCCCCAGCGGCCCCCCACCCCTCAGTTGCGCGCTCCCACACTGCCTCCCCCCTCCCCGGGGGAAGGCCTTTTAATTTATTTATTCTGCTGGGACTGAGGTGGGGGGCTTAGATGGCGGGGGAGAGGGGTCTCCCCGGGCTCTACCTCCCGGGGCTGGAGCTATCCTCCGAGCCCGGGGCCCGCCACGGCAAGCGCCCCGGGGCCTCCCAAACTGTTTCCAAACTGCCAAGACCGGAGGTGGGCGCGTGGAGACTCGGGGAAAGGGCTGGGTTTAGAGGGGGGCGATTGTGTGTTTGGACGCTAGGAGCCGTGGGGGAAGGCAGGCGGCCACCCGAACCGAGTTGCAATCGAGGTATCTCGGATCCCGCTTCCTCTTCGGCCCGGCGACCCCCTCCCTCCCTGGCGCTGTGCTGGGGAGGGGAAAGCGGGTTTCGAACTACATTAGCATTCACGTTCCAGGGAGGATAACAGCCCTCGCCTGGACTTTGGAGATCGAAGCTTTTTTTCTTCTTGCTTTTTTTCCCTTGCTGTTTTTATTTTTGGAGGTGAGCGCCCAGTAATTGTCCTGAACACATGGTTCTTCCCCCCCCTCCTCCTTCCTCCAGCCACCAGCGACAGAGTCCCCCGTTTTTGCATTTATCTTTTCCTTCCCCTTTCTTTATTAAAGGTCCGGGAGTGGTGGCGGCCAATCAGCGCGCGGCTTCCATTTTGTGAGTTCAACTCGGAGGCTTCCCGGGCTTCGTGTGGACATATTTGCAGTTTCTCTCTCGCTCGCTCTCTCTCTCTCCCCCTTCTTCTCCCATGCCCCTCCTCCTCTTCCTCCTCTTCTTCCTCTTCCCCATCCACCCAAAGCCTTACCTGTTCCAACAATCACCCTACAGCCTAGCCCCCCCTCCCTCCTCTCTCCCTCCCTCCCTCCCTCTCCTCTCTCTCTCCCCTCCCCTCTCCTCCTCTCTCTGTCTCTCTGTCTCTGTCTCTGTCTTTCGTCCCGGGCGACCAAGGCGAACTAGCCACCTCGCTGGGGCTTCTAGGTGGTGTATTTCATATTGGGGATCTTTTCGGGGTTTGTAATTTGGCCGTGGGTAGGTAATTGGCTGGAGCAGGGCGGCAGGGCGCGGCAGCCAATCAGCGCGCGGCTTCTATAGGGCTTGAGTTATTAGACGCTGATCTCAAAACATCCTTCATCAGACTCCAAGGAGAGGCCAACAGATGAGGGAAGCCATTTTTCTGCAATGGAATTAAATGGCCAAGTGGGTTTTTCCTTTGTTGCAAATGGGGAATGATTTTCCTTTGACTCCACCATCCAGTTCAGGACGCCTGAATGTGTTAACATTTGTCAACAGGCTAAAGGACTCACAATTGGAAGAATGAAGACCTTTTAAAAAGATCTGGATTTTTCCTTATGACTTGGAATCCATCTTTGACTTGTATAACTAGGTCATAGCACACCATTAATGTCAGCAGTTAACAGTTTTGAATTCCAAAAAACCTAAGTAAATAACATATTTAATTTTTTTCCTTTTTTTCTTGGGTGGGTGGGGGGAGCTTGGAGCTGTCTTAATCTGTATTCTCTTGACTGAACAATAAATTTTTAAATATAGTTTCCTCTATTAAGCACTTAAACCTGGCCATCTTATTAACTCCTCTCTTTCTAACAAGGTAATGTTTTAAATGTATAGTTTTAGGAATAGCGAAATGGCAGCACCAAAAATATTGCGAGCAGTTGTTACTGTTAAAGTTTTTAAAAACCTTTCTCCATTGTAAGTACCCACTCCATTTTGTCCTTGCTGCAGTGCAGTCTCCATGTTACTGTCGCCTGAGATATCCTTAATTTTCGAACCTTGATCTGCATGTCTGTCTTTGTCTCTCTTGTCTGATAGAAGCCAGTTAAAATGCTTTTAGACGTTTGCTTTTACAAAGTTAAGGTTTTTAGCGTCATGCTTTTTGAAAAAAAATGCTTACAGCAATAAATGCGAGTCAGATTTCCGCCCAGTAGCTTGTACACTTTCTCTGAAAAATCGATCTATTTGAAGAAAAACAGCTCTATTTTTCTCGACTTAGTTGGGGGTGATGGTAAGAGATAGGAAGACCTCTTTGTGTAGAATAAAGCCGTCACTGGAAACTAGATTTTAAACTGGAAAACAAGTCCTAGCTGATGCAAGCCAAACACCTACGTTAACTCGGTGTGTTTTCTATGGTGGTTGGGATGGCTGGTGAGCTTTTTGCCTTTTGTTTGACTGTGTGTTTTCGCCTTTTTGTCTCTTAATGACGATCACACCATTGCTATATCCAGAGCAGTAAACAGTCCTCTGCGAAGCAGCCTTTTTGCCAACCCAACCCTGGAAAGTTTGCAGACGTGGAAGGAGCAGAAAATACCATGAGAGTGTAACTTACAAAAAGGTAACAACAAAAGAACACCACAACCCTAGATTTCCCAACTAAACAATCAAAACAAACAGACTTTAAAAAATAATATCTCCAAAACCACCGCCCAGCTTCTTCTAGACTCCATGGCACCGGGTTGAGCGGGTAAGTAAAAAAAAAAAAAAAAAAAAAAAAAAAAAAAAATTAAAAAAAAAAAAAATTTTTCCTCTTTAATAATTAGTAAATGTGAAAAACATTA